ACTTGGTTGGCGAATAGGCCAGTGCGGCACCCAGATTTCGAAGGTAAATCTCTGCAGAAGGTTGATAGGTTTAGGTTAGGGTTTATGTGAAGGATGAAGGTTGATTGGGAAGAAAATGAGAGAGACTATATTGGCCAAGGGGAAAACCGATTGGGTTGGAAAATGTGAGGTTGTATGTACAGAGTATGACGAAAGGTGATTTGGAGGTCAATAGGGTGGAGCCGAAGAGTAATCAATCGGCTCCACCTGCGGCAACCATGAAGACTGCCCCTACGGCGTCAAAGCCAACAGGGGTGGTGGAGAAGAAGATTAGAGGATTCAAAAGCCATTGAAAAGAGAGGATCGGGGTTGTTAAACCGAGAGGGCTCTGATACCATGTGAATGTTTGATTAATCCACCACACCTAGATGGTGTGAAAGTTATCTTATTTATAATCAAATGAATTACAAGGATATGAAAATAGTAATAAATGAAAATAACAATAAATGGAAAGATACTTATGTATTTGCCTTATAATAAAATATCAAATATATTATATATGGTAAACTATAATTTATTACTAAATATCCTTAACACCACCTATTACCGTGTCGTGTTCTCTATGAATGACTAATAAATATAATGGCTTCAAAACCGATGGACATATGCCTTTTTCAGTTTTGGCCCTTGGGGTTAATAATTTGATAAATATATTTTATTAATTTCTGGACAAGCTTGGCACAAGTCGGTGGCCGCAGCCTTGACTGACTCCACAACTTTATTTCATCTCGTAATACCATGACTTCATCACTACCTTTTTCCATTTATCTATTTGCAAAATTTTCTTTTCAGGATGCTGCTAAATATCGTGATGAGCTGAATGAAATTTCTCCTCACAGTCTTTTGAAGTGTGCAAGTGATGCGACAACTTTGGTACATTTTTTTATCTTCTTATGAATGTTGTTGATGGATTAAATAACATACCGTTTTTTCAATTTATAAAAGTAACCTCCTCTTGCTATCTGAATCAAACATACTATCCTATATGCTACCTAATAAATGTCTGTTCTTATTTCATTCATAAAGAGTTAAAAAATGACAATTATTCCTTCCTTCAGAATAAATTGATTAGAGAAACGGAGTGTGTAGAAGCTAGAATCTCCATGTGTGAGCGGATGAAAATCTTGACAGTAGACATAATTTTGATTGATTCTGTAATGTTATGAACCAAAATAAAAGATAAGAGAACTACACGATCGCCCAAGTAATTTGAGGCACTTGGATCCTTTCTATCTTGAAATCACTCAGGCCTAAACCAACTGAATCAATGCTTAACTTCCTCCTTTCCCACTTCCCCATTCATAATCAAAGACAATGACTAACTCTCTATTATTTACTAATAAATCCCTATAATACTACTAATTCTCCCTTCTAATGTCATTCCTATCATGTAGGGTATAAGGGTACAAGTCAGGAGTGTTTACATAGAAGGCCGAAGCCAGCCTTCGAAGAATCAGTACTTTTTTGCATATCGAATTAGAATAACCAATAATTCAAACCGGCCAGTTCAACTTCTCAGAAGACATTGGATTATCACTGATGCAAATGGGAAAACAGAAAATGTCCGGTAAGTTTGACTTGCTTCTATACATTCCTCCTTGATGCATTAAGCATGTGAAGGTGTGTTCCCCCGCTCAACCTGGATGTGTTTTTTATTTTTGCAGGGGTGTTGGTGTTATTGGTGAACAACCAGTTATACTTCCCAAGACTGGCTTTGAATATTCATCAGCATGCTCATTAACTACTGCTAATGGTAGAATGGTTAGAACAATTTTACCTATATGAACTTCTTGTTGTTTATATTCTTTTTCCGTTTATAATTATGTCTGTTTTTCTGATCCAGTAAAAGGACTGCTATAACGTATTGTCTTAAACATGTCGAGTAAAATTTATAGTCAAACTTGTTTTCATAAATTCACATGTGGAGTGCACACTTCAAACACGCTTTCATTGGGAATTTTTTGTTTTGCTTTTTAGTGGGACATCCATGATGCAATATTATTTTCTTTCTTATTTATGTCTAACAAGGTAAGAAGCTGTAAGTTCTTGATATTTTTTTAAACTCAGAAATGTCTAACAAGCCTGAACATCCATGGTAGACGATAAAGAAAAAGCCTCACGAGGCATTTCTCTTGAAATTGCATGCTAAATAAATTGTTATCTTTTGGTAATTGCGCGTTCACATTGCATATCACATCATGTTTTTTTCCAAATTCTACGCATCTACTCATTTTATGAGTGGAATTTTTCGTAATTGAAAAAACAGAATATTTAATTCTTTTTACTTTTACATAATAAATTAAATCTTAATCTTACTTGTGAATTCATGCTTATTTGGCATTATGAAAATGGGTGGTAAACCTGAGTTCTTTCTAAATGTGGTGCAGGAAGGTGACTATGAAATGAAGTACATTGACATTGTAGGAGAACAATCATTTAACGTTGCTATTGCTCCATTTTCTCTCTCCATATTAGGAGATAGCACAGACGCTTTCTAAGGTGTAAACTGCAACCAAAGGTCAGCCAGGCAGAGGTTTTTTGGAACATCAAGAGCTCTGTTGATAAAGCTGTTTGCAGATTTTGTAGATATTCTTTCATTGGGGATGCGATAGACCAAGCCTTGCCAACAAATCCATGATAGTCTCAAATGAATTTGGAAATGTTAGGAGCTTCTTTGTTTATAGACTCCGGAGAGAATTGTTGTAAAGATCAACGTGTGTATAGATTTGTTGCCACTTTAATTATAGTCGGTAGACCCAATTCATTATTTTGAAATTGAACCATATTGTATTAAAAAATTCTCTGTCACACCCACCAACCAGCATCTTAGATTAATGTTGCACCTGTCTTGATGATAAAAATGTGGCGAGAATCTCATATTTATGTTCAGCTGTACGACGCAGTCATGCTCTAAATTTTCTTTCTTGTAGGTTTTAATGCTTCTTCTTCGTCACAATGGTGCCTTGACTGATTGGTCAGCGGAGTTAACATGCTTGTTTAATTTATTATTATTAATATCCTTTACCCTTGTCCTTTATCTCTGGCTTTTGACCAATTAATTATTGCTAACTATTTCCAGCCCATAAAATTACAGGAACTTTGCTGGAAATTTTGAGTTCAATATGGGTTTGGCGCTCTTGACCAGGGCGGCATCGAGTGAATGACCAAGGCAGCAGTCAGTCGGTACAATTATTTGAACATTATTTCTACCAACTATTTTACATTATTTGAAGACCCATTTACTATGTTTTTACAAATTTTTATTACTGCTTCTAAATTCAACCTTTCCCAATTAACCCAGGGATTCTCACTGCCAATTAAGGTGCCTTATCTTGCTTAGCCTATCAACATTCCACCCTATAAATAATATAATCAACTTCGGAGGTGAAACGTTATATAAAATGCTCTTTGTTTTGGTTATAGCAAAAGGCCAAAATGGAGTCTCTCAGGGAAAATGGTACTTTTTGGATGAACCAATCCTGCTCATATCCATGACTTTTCAAAACAGTGAGCTGATGCATGGTGGTTAGGTGAGTCTTTGAAGCATTGAAGTGTGTTGGTTGCAGTTTTCTTGTGCACTTTTTTTGTATTGGTTCTTGTTTTTTTTTTTCATCTTACAGTTCCTTGTACTGCACTACAAACTCCAGAGACTGAAGACGTGAAAAACACAATTTCTTAGCCATTACAGCTTTGGCTTTGCACTTTTGGAAGTCTTTTCAGACGCATTCTATTTATGCATTTGCTCCTCTCTGCCCTCGCATTCTGCATTCTTTAACTGCATGGGAGTTTGCTTCAGTCCCTTCACCAGTGATCACTCAAAACTCCAGGTTTCTCTCTCTCTCTGTCTCTCTCTCTCTCTTCTTTACAAATATGCTTATTTTGGTACTTAAGTATTAGAGGGAGCTAGAGAATAAGGGTATGCTCTGCAACACAAGTTTATAATTTGAATTTCTGTTTGGTTCCTACTTGGCTTCATCTCTGAACAAATTCCTCTTTGTATGAGTATTAGTTTGAATTACTAAAAAAAGGGGAAAAAGCAACATGTATTTATACTGAAAAAAAATATATATATCAAAGTAATTTTCTCTTGTCATAAAGGAGACTATTTTCTTCCCAATTTGTCAGTGTAACTTCGCTTTCTTTCTTTTGATTTCATGTTTTTTTTCTAAAAAAAAATCTTCTCTATAGTACTTTATTACAGCTAGCTATTGTTATTTTTCTCCTCTTTTTGCTTCAATATAGACAGCAAGAAAAAAACAAATGAAGTTATTTATAACATTCTCCAATTTCACAGGGAGTGCAGCAAGATGGAAGATGGGCCTTGGACTTTGCTTACAGGTGATTAAATCTAACCTTCCTGTTTTTTTCAGGTTTTAATTATATTACATTACCTATACATTTACCCTTTATATTGACTCTCTACATACCCATTTTTCTCTTCTTTGGAAATGTTTTTGACATGTCATTCAAAATTTTGAAAAATTGGATTAATCTTTTGAAAATGATCGTATGCAAGCATCGAACCCTGCATAGCATTATTGGACAACTTAAGCAACTTGATGATCCGACAAGGTTTTGCTTAATCTGTCTATTGCATGGCTCATTTTCCATGTTTTGACCCACCCAAGTTTGGTAGCTTGAAAATAGAGTAGAACCCACCTATGCGCGCCTATTGGTGCTCTCGCGAAATCCTAAGTCGGTAATGGACTAAGATCCGTTCTTGCAGGAGAAGTGTAGCAAGCAATTAGGCCTATGTTTAAACATTTATATAAGTTTCTAGAAAACCTTCAACCAACAAGTCAGAGATTCGAATCTATTATATGTATATTATAAAGATCGAACCTCGAGAATGAAACCCAACACAAAAATAAAATGAACATGGTTTCAAATTAGATAGGAGTGAGAAATATCTAGTCTTATCATAGCACTAAAGTCTTTCAAACCATTTGTTTCAAAAAGAAAAAGAAAAACAAGTCTTTCCACCATTATTTTTCTGATTTATTTTTTTAATCGGTAAACGCCTTTATACATTATTAGAGGTCTTTNATACTTTTTTTTTTTTTTTTTTTTTTTTTTGCCACAAGGGAAAAGGGTCCCAATGCAAGGACATATGTCACGTGTTAGGGTCCCACCCCTACACCAATATAAAACACAGCAATCTTATTATGCCTTGTCATAAAGCTTACATGACGATGTTGACCTTAAAATTGATCATGGATTGCTCAATATCAGACGGCTCAAAATCACTGGTCAAAAACTTTGGTCCCACTTCCAATTATGGTGCTTCAATAACCAAATCATTCCCTTACCTTTTCAATTCCTCTGCTTTGCTCCATAAAATCCCTCACAATCATATGTTATTATTATTATTCTTATTGTTATCCTTTATTTGATTTTATAAGCTATCATAAATTCATAATTGTATAAAGTGTGCGTTGTTTGTTATGTGTATTTAATTATATTCTTTTGTTTTAGTTTAAGTATTTATATNAAACGAAAAAAAAAAAAAAAAAAAAAAAAGCGGAATATTCAAATTTTTGATAATCATCTGATTTTTTATTTTAGAAAATGAAGTTTAAAATAGGACTTCCATTTATAGATAAATGTATTTATTTTATTATCTTATTTTTATAAAATTTTTTAAAATCAAAGGTAAGTAACTGTGAGGAAATAAATACAATTCTTGAAAATAGAAAATGATATTGTTATCAAATAAGTCCTAAATTTGTGTTTTTTTAAAAAAAAATATAAAGACCAAAATGAAAAAGAAAAATCAAAATACAAAATGGAGTCCTAATAAATTTCTCCTTTTTCTTGTTTATTTATTTTTTAATTTGGAGTTTTAATAAATTTCAAATTTAGAACGGTTAATGAAGATGTGAGATTTCAAATTGTCCATTATTTTTATAAGCTTATGCACTCCAGGCACAATTATTCTCTCCTCATTGACCCATTTTTGAAAATGAAAACCAAGCAAAGGGGACACAAATTCCCTTGCGCCTTGGAAAATTAAAAAAACAAAAAAAAAAACAAAATTTGCATGGAAATATGGGGAGAGCTTGGGATTTTGCAGAGGATTCTGTAGTTGATGTAATAGGCAAAAAGAGAAGCTTACACTCAAAGCTCCACAGGCCTTTTCTTCTCTCTCTCTTTCTCTGTTCTTTGCTTTATTTAATTCGTCTTCCAAGCCGAAGAAGGAAAGCATCTCCCTCCTTTCCCGCTTTCTTCCTCTCCATTGTAAGTATAAACTCTTTTCTTCGCTTAGAATTTAGCTGCTTCTCCTGTTCATTCCTTACAGTATATGTTGTTTGTGAATGTCGGTTACTCGGTTTTCATATTTCTTTCCTAAAACTTATCTGAAGTTTCGAATCTGTCTTCCCCCATTTGGGATGTTTCTTTGGTTAAATGGGAAATGGGTTGTTCTTACTTTAAGTTTCTTATCCATCTCAAGCTTCTTCTGCGTAATTTCATTATTTTATGCATAAGATTCTTCCTTAAACATGCCGGCTTTGGCTCTGCTTTGCATTTTTGGATTGTGATGATGTTTCTTCTCAGCTTTCTTCTACCTGGGTTCTCCAGAAAGTTTGTGATTTTTTCTTAAAATAAATGTTGTTTCATCTTGTTCTTTGTTAACAAGATATTCTTTTATTTGGGTTTTCTGCTCTGGGTGGTGGGAGTTTTGATTTTGATCATCTTGTTTCTGGTTTTCAACAGCCATTCTTTCTTTTGGGTTTCCCAGTCGCCTTCAATTCTGTCATTTTTTTTGTCTTTTGGTTCTCAGATTCCCTGAAAATAAGTGGTCACTGTCAATTCTTTTTATTTCTCTTCTGTCCATCCTCAATATTCTTTCCCCTTTTCTCAATTAGCTGGAAACATCAGGGGTTTCAATTTAGTGATTCTTTCTTACCCAACATAACCTCTTAATTGAAGAGGGAAATTTCAGTTTGTTCTAGCGTTTTGTATTCTTCATCCTCAAGGAAAATCACTTTCCATCTCTAAACCCACATTTAGCTTATCCCCTTGACCAAAAAAGCTCCATTTTTCTCACCCTGGTGACAAAATGAGTTTCTTAACAGGATCCCCCACAAAATCTTGGCAACCGATCATGACAGATGACACAACAACTTCCAGTTACTGGCTCAACTGGAGGGTCCTGCTTTGCATTATATGGGTTCTGGTGACACTGAGTTTTGCATTGTTCTTGATATGGAAATATGAGGGCCGTAGGAATAAGGCATGTGATGGAGAAGAAACTCAGGAAGAAGAAGCTGGAGCTTTGTATGATGATGAAACATGGCGGCCCTGTTTTAAGGGAATACATCCTGCTTGGTTGTTGGCCTTTCGAGTATTGGCTTTCTGTGTGCTCTTGGTGCTCCTCATTGTCACTGCTATTGTTGATGGAGGCGACATATTTTACTTCTATACTCAGTAAGTTTTCAAGAGAAATGGGAGAAATTTCCAACATTTTATAAGCTCAAAGAAGAGATTAAAGTTTTGGTTGTGTTGTTTGAAACAGGTGGACTTTTACTTCAATCACTATTTATTTTGGGGTATGTCCCATCATTTTCAAAGAGCCCTTTTCTCAACATATTTTCCTCTATATCTCTATCTCTCCCTTTTCATTGGTTATTTGCTTATGAATTTCCGATGTCCTGTTCTTAGCTTGGATCACTGCTCTCCATTAATGGCTGCTACCAATATCAGAAGAAAGTTGGCGGTGAGAAGGTGGATAATGTGGAGGGAGATGCAGAGCAAGGCACTTCTGCAGGTGGAAACGGTTCAAATACAGAGAAAAATCCATCCCTTCGTGATGAACATCATCTCAGGCGTCAACCTGCCGGATTTTGGGGTTATCTCTTTCAGATTATCTTCCAGGTTGGTGCATTGAGTTTCTTTATTTTGTAGTTTTGAAAAAAAAAAAAAAAAAAAGGTTCCCTTTCATTAATCTGCTGACCTTTTTGCTCTCTCTGTTGTTCTTGAAAGATGAATGCAGGTGCTGTTATGCTGACAGATTGCGTCTTTTGGTTCATAATTGTTCCATTTCTCACTATCAAAGATTACAACCTTAATTTTGTAAGTGCTTAACAGCTGCAAATTGAGTTTATGAAAGTGCATAACATTACATCCTTGTAAACTGCTTGGGAGCTCATTTCTACTTGTGATTTCAAAATGATTCTAAGAAAGTTTTCAAGTGGCTTGTAGTTGCCTTCAAACACACTCAATTTCATTGGTCTAAATAGCAATTTTGTTCCTTTTTTGTGGCAGTTGATAATAAACATGCATACAATCAATGCCGTTTTCTTGCTAGGAGACACCGCTTTGAATTCTTTGGTAAGTAATGAAAATAACTTCATTTTGCTTCTCTCTTCCTGTTATATCATAGCTCAGTTCTTATCTGTTACAACTTTTCAGCGATTCCCCTGGTTTCGGATCGGATATTTCTTCCTCTGGACAGTCATTTATGTAATTTTTCAATGGATCGTTCATGCTTGTGTGAGACTATGGTAAAATCACTGGCCTCTCTCTTATTTTCTTTCCAATTTGTTCATATTCATGTTGATACAACAATGGTTTCTCCCTACAAAACAGGTGGCCATATCCATTTCTAGATCTCTCATCTTCATTTGCCCCACTTTGGTAAGTCTATCAGAGTTTTCTTGTAACCCTGTTTCTACATTTTCAAAAATGCTTCCATTATGCGTATGAACTCATGGTAGTTAACTGATCACCTTATGATTTCAATGAACGTGAAGGTACTTGTCCGTGGCTCTAATGCACATTCCTTGCTATGGCATCTTCATACTGATCATGAGACTGAAACACCATGTATTTTCGAAATGGTGCCCACTATCCTATCAATGTACGAGGTAGTCGAGAAAGACCTGAAAGATATCGTTAAAATTCTCCGAAGGAGAACAAACAAGCATAAATGTCAAAAAAAGCAGACTTAATACAATTGATCAAAAGGGAAAAGGGTTTGATGTACATGAGTTAATGCAAATCTTGATAGGAAAAAAAGGAGCAAAAGATTCAAGGTTTTCTTAGGCAATTAGATATAACTCATAGATATAACTTATTATATGTATGTAACCCACAGGAACGAACATTTTCCATTTGGTATAGAATATAAAGAGAGCTCAGCTTTGTTCTCTATCTGTGCCCACCACCATATCCATCCTTTCTATTCATTTGTCATTTTTCATTTTCCCTCTCTCTTTTCCCTACATGGGATTGAATTCCTGCCTTGCCAACATCGAAATTGATAGATTAGATTCTTTGAATTGGATGCCAGTGGGGAGACCCAAAAGGGTGCGAGAATATGAACATCCTTTTACTTTAGAATTTACAAATGCTAGTTGTAAGGAAAAGTTTGGATCCATCACTGTCTCTGCTTTTCCCACCTTAGAAACCCATAATCAAAACCTATCGAGATTTAAAAACATATCTCTCCGTAGCATCGATAGTAAGTACTATATAGCTCAAAACTTTAGCGGGTCTATTAATCGAGATCAATTGTTTATTCTCGGTCCCATTTTTTTCAAGTTATTGAGGATTGTATCTAATTATTCCTTGGGGTGGATATCAAAATTTACTCATGACATTGATCTTGCACAATCCATTATTGGATTGGCACTATGCAACTCTAAAAAGTAAGTCAAATGATTAAAACTCATTAAGGATTATTACTCAATATTCCAATCCATTTGGTTTCATCTCCCACATCAATATACTTGAAGGATCAACTCAATGTTAAAACAAAATTGAATAGGAAATGTTGGAAGATAGAATCAACCAACAATTGGTTTATAAGACAAATCTTCGAACGTATAGAGCTCCGGGGGTTTCGACCGTTCGACCATTCGGCCGATGCCCTCTAAAAGGTGAATGAGTAGGCTAATTACTAAAGAAACGAGATGAAACAATCGAGTAGAAACATATTTTTTCCCCCTAAATCCCCAAGAATGGGCAGTTCATTGTCTTCAAAACCACCACAAAATCCAGCAAATATGGTAGAAAGACGCTCGGGAGATGTCATTGAATCTATTTGTTCAAGCTTTCTTCTAATCTCTGAATAGCAGCACCGACGCCACTCTTTGATTCTCCCTTTTGAATTGCACTAGGATAAGCCAGTGCTTCATTGCCTTCATTTGCTTTCTCTACAAGCTTTAAATGAAGCCAACCTGTGATCAAAATGTCTCTTTAGTAACAGCCACCAACGCTTTCTAACAAGCTTACCCACCACTTTTTGTTTCTTTTATTATACTCAAAAAGTTCAAGAATTCAGGGTATTTTCACGTGGAAAAGGATTCCTATAACCAAGCAATAAAACACCACATTCAACATATAACTATTACCAAGAGGGAAGCAAAATGCTGCACCAAGAACAGATCCCATCGCTAAGTTCCTAGCACGCCACTTGAGCGATCCCGGCACTGCAAAGTAAGCCATATAGCAAAATAAGCTCAGGAGAACATGGATGTTTTAAGTAATTTAAACAGCTCTGTTCATATCTTCAAACATTTAAGATGCTCCAAGCTTTGAAGTAAGAATTGATAAAACTAGGACAAGGCATAACTCGATGGAATTAGACCCAAGGAATAGCTGCTGCTTACATATTAGACCAAATGTAGCAGCTGTGGCAGAACCAGCAGCAGCGACATTGAAAACATCATGCACGCCACGCTTCTCGGCTAGCAGATTTTGTAGACCGTAAAATGCAGCTGTAAACATCCCGAGACGCACACCACCAACTATTGAGCCTCGTGTTACTCTGATAAATCTTTTCTCCATTGCATCTCTGATTAACCTATATTGTTCTCGCTTGTCAGGTGTGCTCCCAAGCTTCAATGTAACTTCTGCATCCTTGCTCTGTTAATTGTCATGCTTCCCTCTTAAATTTCATCCAGTTTGAAAATTTTGATTTGAATATATGAGTCATTTCAGAAAGGAGAATTGCAAAGGATACTGCATATATATATATATATATATATGAGGAGAAAATGGTTGAGAGTATATGTAACCGCGTAAGCTCACCACTAACAGATATTATCCTCCTTGGATTTTCCTTTCTGGGCTTACCCTCAAGGTTTTTAAAACGTGTCTGCTAGGAAGAAGTTTCCACACCCTTAAATGTTTTGTTTCCCTCTCCAACCGACGTGGGATCTCACAATTCATTCACTTTGGGGCCTAGCGTCCTCACTGGCACTCGTTCCTCACTCCAATCGATGTGAGATCTCATAGTCCACCCCATTCGGACCCCAACATTCTCGTTGGCACTCATTCCTCTCTCCAATTGATGTGGGATCTCACAATCCACCCCCTTTGGGACCAGCATCCTTGCTAGCACACCGCTTGGTGTTTGGCTCTGATACCATTTGTAACAGGCCAAGTCCTACCGCTAGCAGATATTGTCCACTTTGGGCTTTTCCTTCCAGGCTTCCCCTCAAGGTTTTAAAATGAGTCTACTACGGAATGGTTTCCACACCCTTATAAAGAATGTTTTGTTCCCTTCTCTAACCGATGAGGGATCTTACACTATCTCATCTCACCATCGTATCATTTCATCACAACCTCCAAGCATCCAGCAGCAAGAAAAACACATAAAAATTTCTGCAAGTCCTAAAATACAATTACAATAGAACATTGGGGATTTTTGTCCCCCAAGAAAATTAACTTACCACCGAAGCTGCTGCTTCTTTGCTTCCTCCATAAAACATCCCTGCAAACACTGCAATAGTTGTTGCCGTACCCCAATTCACAGTTCCAGGCAATTTTTTAGTAACCTGCTTAAATGGACAATTAGAAGAGACCTTTAGGTATACAGTACATTGATCAAGTGAGCTATCATAAAAGCCGTTTCTAGACCCAGTGAATCATAAACAAACGAAAATTCATTCTAAATCTAACGAAGAATTTGAATTGCCTTGTAAACTCGTATACTCCAAATAATTACAAAGAGAAACCTAATTCAATAACCGAGAGACGCCCTTCAGTTGATAAAATTGTGAAAGAGCAAGAAATGTTAGTTCCAAGAGAGAAATTCTTACATTAGAGACGGTTTCTTCGGATTTCTCAGTGGCTTCCATCGTCAAATAGATCTCAAACAATAAACTTAAATCAAATGGTAACGCTACAATACCGACGGCCAGGAAATCATCGATCACGGCGAGAAAATCCTTTCGCCGTCCGTCAATATAAAGAAACAGTACCTCAAGTAAGATTCAGAAGTGAACAGCCAAGCAGAAGATGCTGCTGAACTTTGAACGATGAAGATGAAGAGGCGGAGACGGCTTCAGCTGAGTCGCTCTGTTAATCTAAGTTTCATTGTAACGCGCCCTATTTTAGTAATTTTATTTTTAATTAGAAAAATAAATCGAATTTTTAGTAAATTAAAATTTAAAAAATAGATTTTTAATTGAAGTCTCAAATTCATTAGTTTTAAAATTATTCCTTATAATAAATAAGTAATATATATATATATATATATATATATATATATATATATATATATATATTTTGTAATTTTAGTTTTTAAACATGACATGATTTTAAAACTGTTTTTACCGATAAAAGTATTGTTTGTAAATTTGATTTTTAATGCATATAATATTTACTATTAAATTTTTTTGATTGATTGAGGCATCTCGAGTTTAACAAAAAAAATTAAAAATTAAAGTCTAGATAGAAAAAAATTAGAATTAATTCTCGTCAACCATTCTAGACATAAAGCTCTAAGAATGTTAGTGGGTTAGGTCGGGTTGAACCATTTCTTAGAACCAATTCTCTTCGACCATTATAGACATAAAATTTTCAAAATGTTCGTGGGTAAGATCGAGTCGAGCCAATTTATGATAAATTCTAATCAAACTCGTCCCAACTTATCTATAAAATATTAAGTTTGGGCTGACTCCAATGGTTCCAATCAATATCATGTCAAAACTGCATAGATCAAACTTGACTACCCCAACTTAGGATGTTCTACCATTACCATGCAAGGCAAATCGATCACCAAGATGTATACACAAGGAAGAGAGTGTAAAATGCACAAAATATATAGGAAAGAAATCAGAAACTCAGTGTTAATTCATAGTGAAAATATCAACAAAATCATGTTCCAACTAAAAAGTGTATTGATTCTTCAATGTTCATTGTTCATCGAAAACTCTGTTTTCAAAAATATGCCGATGAGATTACAGAAAAAGGAAAAGAAAGCCATCAAGAAACAAACTGAAAACCAAATCATCACCTCAAGAAAAGCAGAAGAAAGAAGAAAAATGATTTAAAGTCACAAATTCAATCCAAATTCTTCAATATCACACATCTGAATAAAGTTTCCCTAATCATTCTTCAATGTCTCAAGCAAAGTATCGATTCCCCCAAACCAAATCTCTCTTCCTTCAAACTCGATTCTCTCTCACTCCATTTCCATCTCCTTCAACAATGTCCACAACAACTCAAATCATCCCGCTCTACCTCTATCTCGTCCTCTCGTCTATTCTCCTATCCATTTCCACCGCCAACATCCACTCCAACAGCTGCCGCTCCTTCTGCGGCAACATCACCATCGACTATCCATTCGCTCTCCAGTACGGCTGCGGCCATCCCGGCTACCGCGACCTTCTCTTCTGCATGAACGACGTTCTAATGTTCCACATCCGATCCGGATCCTACAGAGTCCTAGACATCGATTACGCTTACGAAGCCCTAACTCTCCACGACCCTCACATGTCGACCTGCGACACAATCGTCCTCGGCCGCCGCGGCAACGGCTTCGACATCGAGGAATGGCGTTCGCCGTACCTGAATCCGACGGCCGATAACGCCTTCCTCCTCATCGGTTGCTCCGCCCAATCGCCACTCTTCCAAGGGTTCCCAAACAAGCACCTAGTCTGTAGAAACGTTTCCGGACTGGGCTGTGAGGAGTATTATGACTGTCCGGCTTGGGCTATATTGGGCCACAGACGACCGGGCCGAATTTATGGGCCCGGCCCACCAGAGTGCTGTGCGGTTCCTTTTGGGTCCATTAAGGCCGTAAATCTCACTAAGCTTCAGTGTGAAGGCTATAGCAGTGCTTATAATTTGGCCCCGTTGAGGCTTAATGGGCCTGATCAATGGGCCTATGGGATTCGTGTGAAATATTCAGTCCAAGCAAACGAAGACTTTTGCCGCGCGTGCCAAGCTACTGGCGGCACGTGTGGGTTTGGTACGGATGGTGTTAGACAGCTGTGCATGTGTGGTAGTTCGAATTCTTCCTCCACTTGTGATTTTGGTAAGTCAGGGGCCATTTCGTAATATATATTTTTTCTTGTTTAATAAATTTTAAAATTTTTAATTTAATATTTAATAAATTCTTAAAAATGTTATTTTTTAAATTAATTGATCAATTATATTAAATTTAAATTTTATAACTACTTGTAAATTATAATTCTCCTCGAGTAACATGATTCCTTCCGTGTTCTTTACAAAATTAAACGGAAAATTTTAAAATTTTACATCTAAAGCAAAAAAATTTCTCGCTTCTACTTCGTCTTTGAACCTACTTAATTCAACTAGTAACCGAAATATTTTAATTATATCAAATTATATTTACGTTGCATAATTCATGTAATTTGCAGTTATGACCTCATTATCGACAAGGATGACATCATGGACACTAATCAAAGCCATATTAGCCGGTAAATATATGGTTGAATACATATATATACATACATGCTTATATACATATATACATACATACATACATACATATACATATGCATATGTGATGATGATTTGTATAATGATGATTTATTTGTAAATATAATTGTAGGAAGCTTGATGGCGATGTTAGAGTAGACAAAGAAGAGCCAATTATGAAGTGGGAGATTGCTTGTGTTTTGTAGCTGCTCCAAGGAAATTGGAATTAGTTCATAAATTTTGAGCAATTTTATAGATTTAATGCATTAGGAGTAGAATATCATAAGCTTTTGTATGGTTTTTGTTGCGAAAACTTGATTGAATCTGTACATGTGTACACCAACGTTTTTTTAAATGGAATCAAACGAAAGATATAAACTGATACAGTTATAAATTCAAAGTTTTAATTAGATAGGTTTATTTAACCTGCGGGGACCCACCTTTGGGAATCCCGTTTCTAGGAATCTCGCTTAAACATGGGAACAGGAAGGAAATGGAGAAAGATTTCTCCTCGTTAGCTACACAAAGCCGGGGATGGGAATTACATTCTCTGTCCCCGATCCCGACCCTATCTCACACATAAAAGATCCTGACTCGATCCCGACCTACTACACTTTCAAACCATTTTTAAAGCACAATGGACAATCTTTCAACATTGACTCTAAAACATGACATTTATGCCTGTTTTTGTAAATTAAGTCTGGAAGACACCAACATTTGCTTCATTGCTACATAGTGAAGCAGTGAAGCAAAAGTTCACAGCTGAGCAGAGTCATTGGCGATGGCACCAGCAGCAGCAAGAAGTGGCACCAGCTGACCACTGCTCTGCTTATTTGTGACCGCTGCAATGACACAAATGGAGATAGAAGATGAGAAAAATTTGGGAGAAGCACCATAAGCTAGGCATTATGCAAAGAAGTCTGCAGGTGTTACCATCGCAACCACCGATGTGTTTTCCTCCGATAAACACGTTAGGCACCGTGGTTTGACCCGTCCACTCTGCTAAAGCTGATTGAATTGCATCTCCATCACCTTCATATGGATGAATTCATCAATATAATGTTTGAAGAACAGTCACAGGCAGCTCAAAGAACTTGTTTTGAGGTAATTATACAACACAATCATCAATATTCAATCAGCATTGATCGAGATTGTAGCAACACGAGAATTAGGCAAACACATATCTTGTCTCAACAGAGGAACATTCAATTTGACATCTTCATGTTTTGTTGTTTTGTTATGTGAAATAATTCATCTAAAATCTGACCTCAACATTGATTATTGTGAGATCCTACATCGATGAGAGAGAGGAATGAGTGCTAGCGAGAACGCTAGGCTCCAAAGGGGGGTGGATTGTGAGAACCACATTGATTGGAAAGAGAAATGACATCATAGAGAGAAGAACGAGTGTCAGCAAAGACGCTGGGCCCAGAGGAAGGTGGATTGTGAGATCTCAAATTGATTGGAGAGGGGAACGACATCGATTGAAGAGGGAAACGAGTGCTAGCGAGGACGTTGGGCCTCGAAGGGGGGTGGATCCCACATTGATCGGAGAGGGGAACGAGTGCTAGCGAGGACGCTGGCCCCGAACGGGGTGGATTATGAGATTGCACATCATTTGGAGAGCAGAACGAAGAACAAAACATTCTTTATAAGAGTGTGGAAACCTCTCCCTAGCTGTTGCTTTTTGAAACTTTATAAGGGGGTGGGAACCTCTCCCTAGCGGTTGCTTTTTGAAACTTTGAGGGGAAGCTTGGAAGGAAAAACCCAAAGAGGACAATACCTACTAGCGGTGGGCTTGGACTCTTACAATTATTTTACTCAAACCAGTTAACAAACAGGGTGCTGACTTCAAGCAACATGAATTCAAAAACACCATTAAAGGCTCAACTATTCATGGAAGATGAAGTTTAAGTGTATTACTTGCAATTAAACTCTCCTTTTAAATTTTTCAGTCTCATCAATCAACAATGAGTTCATAAGTCACAATCAGTTATGCAGTCACTATAGAAGAAACAGAAGGCAAATAGCATCATTCTATCTCAATTTTCAGCTAATTCAAGATAAACAAGGTCATGTCATGGTCAAAGAACGCCCTAGAACAAACATTTATAGATGAAAAAACATGGAAAATTATAGCAGAATCTCAGACGCAAATTCTACTTACTTTTTTGGTCCAATTCAATGACCTTATGACTAGCTCCAAGCTGTGTGAGCAACTTCTTGACTCTCGAGCAATATCCACAGTAAGTTTTGCTGCCATGCGAAACAGAGATTTATTGAATCATAACAAGAACAAATTTCCAAAACTCCCAAAACTTCAAGAACTCCTCAATCTTCACTGTCGATAACAATCGAGCCAATTTTCTTAGCAATAAGAGTTAACCATTGACCATTTTGCACGTAATTGATTCTCACAGGATCGAACATAGTGATAAAAGGTAAATGGTGGAGAGAATCAATAAGAACTTCATACGAGGAAGATCAAATCAAAACATAGAAGGAGGGAGGGGGGCGTTGAAAAATTATTGAAAGAACCTGAAAACAACAACGGGATTAGAGGAGATAATCTGCTTGGCCTCGTTAAGCGACTGATTCTGCTCTTCTTTACTGAATTTGTTTGAGCTGAACCACGACCCCATGACCTCG